TTGTTTGATTTTGAGCTTTATCGCATGGTGAAAATCGACTTTGTTTAGAGGCTATTGTGAATCGAGGAGAATGTAATGCTCTGAAACTGCGATGATTTCGGCTACAAAAAGTTTCTCGAATTTCCGGAAATTCACGCTATGGTATATTTAGATGAGGGAGAAAAGGATTTGCGGGTTTTAAAAATCATACAAATCGTTTTGCCAATGTTTTCAGCCGGTAATGTTAGTGTACATTTTGGCTCATGAAATGACGGTTTTCGGGTGCCTCTCTTAAAACGGCATTTTCTCGAAAACCAAAATATATTTTACTTCAAAAACTATTTAGTGTATTCTAGGATACAATAAAGTATATTTGGACAAAATTTGAGCAAAATCGATTTTTGAGCCGTGGCCGCTCTATGTTCGATTTTTATGGACATGCTCTCTTAAAAACGCACACAATCCAGTACAATTAAATCTTGCGAACTTGCTTGCAATTAGAGGAGTCATTTCCTTAGATTAAAATTAAAAGAAAGCTAGTAAAATTCAAATTTCAGCGGGAATCGTGTCAACAAAGCGGTAAAACAGAAGTCACGTGCGCAAATCATAATGTACGCGAAGGACTGGGATGTGTTGATTGATTTTGCGGATTCGGTGAAAGTCCGTTGTGGAAGGTGCGGTGGCAAGTATTTTGTCTTTATTTCCGACTTTCATGACTTGAGATCTCGAATGCTTTCGCAGCTACAATTATGACAACAAACGGCGATGAAAATATTGAAAAACAGGCGATTTTGGAGCGGTTTCGCGACGTAACTTTGACTGACGTCACCACCGCTGTGCAAATTTTGGAGGCTTCTTGCTGGAACATGGAAGTAAGGATGTTAATCGCATTAATTCAAAATAATTTTAAATCAGTGTTTATGAAACACTACAGGGAATATGTAAAAGTTAATGTTAGGGACTGGACATTGTTTTAGCAAGGTGTGTTTGGGAAGGGGGAGGGGTATTGCCAGCCTCTCTCCCAAAAGCTGCAGAAGTGAGACGGAGAGGCATTGAGCTTACAGTTATCTCAACTGTTGTCTGCATACTCAGGTTGCACTTGATAAGTATTTGTCTGCAAAACCAGATGACATGGGGACCACAGGAAACCCAATTGAGGTAAATATGTGTATGTGTGGAATGGAAGTCAAACATTGTTTGTCAGCTGTCATATAAATTTAATTGTTAAACAAAAAATCATGGAGAATCCACACAACCAATATGTTCTAAGTAAACTGCATAACATATAAACATTGTGCAACGGAAGCTATAATATTTAAGTGTGTCCCTGATAGAATTTCTTTGCTCCAAATCTTTGTTTCTGATACAAATTTTGTGAAGTATAAACTTATTCTTTTATTTCTAGATCCTAGATTCACCTGAGAAACCACCCGTTCAGCAAAGTTCATTGATGCAGGCAACATCACAAGACAGTCAGTAGGTGTTATAGAGTCAATCTGAAAAACATCAAATAAAATCCTAAATAACTCAAATGTTGCTTTTTCCCACTCTCTTTTGATGATGTTGAAATACAGTTTAAAAATGGCCAACAAAGAATTGGTTTAATGATCAGACAGATGTTGACATATCTCCAAATACCACTTAACAGTGTTGGGTGGTCAAACAGGTCGTATGGATTGGGTTTAATTTTTTGAGCCACTACTCTATACTCCAGGGAGAGTGGGATAGGGAGACTGTTGACCCTGCAATCCCCGTCCCTCTTCCTTATTGTTTTTCTGCTGATTTTATTTGCATTTTGTAGAATAAACACAAGTGACAATTTAAAGCTATTGTCATGGAATATTGATGGTCTTGATGGAAACCAAATCAGAGAAAGAACAAGATATGTCATTAGTCTTATCAAGGAAAGGCAGCCAGATGTGGTCTTTTTACAAGAGGTTATTGATGGAACATTTCAGATATTTGAAAGTCAACTTCAAGAGTAAGACACCTACCTGCCAACTTTTAATTATCAAATTTTTATCATTATTATTATCATCAAAAATTTCATGATATTGATGACTGTATAATTTACAATGAATTCTAATAGTCCCCTTCATGATCACGTGCGCCATATTGAAAGGTAGCCATGCCTTTACATCGAAGCGAGACAGTCATCTCGCTTCGATGCAAAGGCACAGCTACTTCAGAAAGGCACAGGTAACCATGAAGAAGACTATTGGAGATATTTCTCATCAAGTATGATTCTATTCATAATACTGTAAATAATTACCAAAGAAAACTTTTTAAGGAGTAATTATTAAAGTTATTATAATTATTGTTCCAGATACATGGTTCTTAGAGCTTACACTGGAGTAGCTTACTTCAATGCAATGTTGTTACGAAAAGCAACAATAAAACCAACAACAGAATTCTAATGCAAGCTTTTCATGACAAGTAAAACCTCCTCACTCAACCTGCTCTGCTCTATGATAAAATCAAGTTAGTTTTGATGACATCACATCTTGAAAGCACCAAAAACTGTGTACAAGAAAGAAAGAAACAACTGAAAGAGGTATATACTGAGATTTCTTCGCAGGATGGAGAGGAGTTTGTCATATTCGGTGGGGATACAAACTTAAGAGATAAAGAAGTTCAAGATGTCGGCCTTCCTTGGCGTATTGACGATTTGTGGGAAGCCTGTGGAAGTAATATGACTACCAAGTACACTTGGGATACCAGCAAGAATGACAATTTAGGCATGGAATGGAAATGCAAGTTGAGATTTGATAGAATTTACTATCGTAAAAATAACAGCAATTCCTTGAACCCTGCTTGTTTTACATTAGTTGGTCAGGAGAGGTTAGCCTCAGGTTGTTTTCCAAGTGACCATTGGGGAATTTGGTGTGAATTTGAACAAACTCACTTGCAAAAGAGAGTAAAGCCGTAGTGGACAGGAAATCCAAGAAGAAATGCAAGGAAAGTTTTTTGTTTTAAAACACAGAAACTTGACATAAATTAGAGAAATACATGGATGGGCAATCAATCCCAGGAAAACAGACATTGATGCCACTTCTTTGTCTAAATGACTCCAGAGAATGATTCCAAAACCAATAAATACAAAGAAGTGTCCAGTAACTGAACACTTGATGAAAACATTAAACCTGTGTTAAAAAATTCAAGATTCCTCAAGTATAACTTGGGATTTGTATTGTTAAACTATTAGTTACTGTTACAGTAACATAGGTGTGTTAGTCTATTATTAGTGGTTGATCAAAACCACACTAAGAAAATTAACAGAGAAACAACTAGTTAGTACTATTACTTTGTACAAAATACAACAGCTTTAATTTCTTACATTTGTAGAGTGCTCGCACTTAAAGCGTGCAACTGTACAAAATCTAAGTAGCATTAATTTGTACAAAAAGTGGACCTGAAGCAAGACGGTATTGAATGCTTCATTTGTATCAATTCAATTTAATTTGTGTATCGCATGCACGATTTACTAAATACAACTAAACATCACTATTTAGTTTGTACAGTTGCACGGATTCAGTGCGATCACTCTAGTATTTCTGAATAATTACAATGTCAATATCACAACAACTAAGTACGTGTATTTAACTACACGTGTTGTTATCACTACATTTTGACATCATCTGTGTATCTATTAGAGTACACATGCACGGAAAAATGAGATCTATCTGTTTTATACAACAAACAATTAGTTTTCACGTAATCCGTGTATCTATACTTTGATAACACACGAAAGCCAACCAATCAAAACGTCTGATTTTACTGAAAAGTTGTATAAACTTTGATAACACACGAAAACCAACCAATCAAAACGTCTGATTTTACTGAAAAGTTGTATAATTTTGGACAGACAATGTTTATCTCCTTCGCAGTTCTCTATGCCATCTTGAAACTAGGACAACACTACCAGAAGCAAGACAATTCATGTGTTTGCAATTATAAATGTTATGAAAGATATTTTCTTGGTTGTATCCTTATTACCTGGCTAAGTTTCAAGACCACACAGGAAAGTGAGAATGAGACTATTGAAGTACGTGTATTTACAAGGTTATCTTACAAAGTTATTTTCTTTTATAAAAGTTTTTGACATGAATGCTGTTTTATGGTGTGTAAGAATTAGTATTGATAATTTATGCGGTTTTCAGACTTTCTCAAATTCACAAAACAAGGATAAAACAAACTTTTTATTGAAACACTGGTTGATGAGAGGGAAGAAAACAGAGATCAGAAGAGTTATTAGCCGTGTGCAAACAAGCCTGGGATATTTCACTGGCAGCAATAACGTTTTCCACAGATTTGATACAGCATATCTTATCAAAACCTAACGGCTTAAATGAGTGAGTATTGAGTACCAGTGAGACAAGAACTAGTTTGATTATATATCCATTTCCAAGTATCAATTTCAAGTTTATTCCAAGATGAACTTCTTAAGAGTGTGTCCACGAGAAAACCAGGCAGTGGGTGCTACATGGGGGTCAGCCGATTCTCCTGAAACTTGGCACACTTATTGCATTTAGTAAGTTATTTGACATTCTATTTTTTTTTGAGATCGGTCAAAAGGGGGGGAAGTTAGGTTTCCCCCTGGAAAATGGCCATTTTTAGCACAAAAATTGCACAAATTAACCTCANTCATTCTTTCATTAACTTACTAAGTTCTTCTCTGAATTTAAATACATCAAACATATCGCGCAAGTTAAGATTCGTTTCCAGACATCTGTAAAAATAATCTGGACATTCATCACGAAGTGCGTAAAGATGAATCAATGCCTGTCCATTTAATTTCGGTAACACAGCTTTGCAAACCTCATCCAGACCAATGTCTTCCAGCCAGCCTTTTACCTCATTTGCCGTCCATTTTGCTACTCCAGATAATTCAGAGGTGTTTGTTAAGTCTTGGTCTTTTTCTACAGGCTTCTCGTGTTCATCATTGAAGTGATTTCCTTGATTCTCTCGTCCTCTGTCACCTAACTCTTTAATCAGTTTTCCAGTTGCCGTCTCTACATTTAAAACTGTTTCGTAGGTCAATCCAAAGTTTTGTTCCCACAATCATTCCCAGCCAACCGTCTGGTTTATAGTTCTGTTGCATCATTAAAGGAATGATGTCTTTTCGCAGCTGATATGCATATTCTGCCTCTGAACGGCAATTCGGACTTTCCTTGTATTGATGTGATACACAGACAAGAACCACAGACGAATTCTCTACAGCTTTAGCCATTGCCTCTAGGGTCGATCCTCCCATTTGCTCCAAGTCCATCCAAACTCTGTATCCGCTTGCTTGAAGCTTGTTTTTCATTTCAATCAGAACTTCCTGAGAATCCCATTGGTAGCTAATCATCACGTGATTTCCGGTTGCTTTTGTCATCTCCGAATTCCTGGCAGTTTTTCCTTCGAGTTCCCACAATGCACCTGCTGCAGCTTTTTGYACTTCAGAGTCATCGCTCTGCTGAAGTCCYCGCAGAATRGYTAAGGTTKCATTATCTTGAGYGATGGTTTTCTTATTGTCCTCATCAAAAGATAGCACCCAAAGAGCATTGACTGCACTAGCTTTCTCGCTATTGTCATTTGAAGTCTTGATTATRGAAACGAGAACTGAYATSACACCCTTTTCACCCAGAACTCTCTTGTTKGTATCRTTCATTGCGAGACGACTGAGTCCTTCAGACAGCTCTTTAGTTGAGAATCCATCGAATTTCCTACGCCCTGACTCAAGAGCCTTTTGCAAAAGTGACGTCAGAGATCCCARAATTTCTTCARCAGCAAGAATTAGATTATTGCTCTCTTCGTCRACAACGTAAGCYAAGCTAAGAAGAGCAAGRGGSGRCACGATGGCGATGTCRGATTTTGCGAAATAAACTAAAGTTTCTTTCCCTTCAAAGTCGACTTTKGCTTKGACTAATTCAGTTTTTCTGGCCAARTTGTACAGAATRTTGAAGCAACATCCTAGAATTCGTATAGCTCGTACAGGCCTTCCGCTTCCCTCAGCCTGTGTAGTCATAAACACGTCTTCAACTTGCCGACTTTGAATCAGGCAWAGCGAAACAACTTCAGTKGTCTTWACACATGTCACGCAAAACTGTTCATGAAACTCCGCAAAGTTTTGTATTACAAGAAGAATAAGKATAAGTGTTTCTGACGTTAGGTGGTCCATTCTATCTATCTCAATATTTCTCGATTGCGGGTCCTCGTTCTTATGATGKTTTTTCACACATTCGATGTACGAATCAAASAGCTGTTTGGCTAGMATGTAGAACAAACTTGCACCCTCTATATCCAAGATAAAATTAGCAATTAAGTTATGTTTTTTCTCTTCATTCGTTCCGGGTGAGAAAGCAGCTTTTATGCTCCTTTTGCGAAATTTWAGAACTTCTTTGTTGATCTTTGATAATAAATCTTTATCACTGAAAACATTCTCTTTTTCCRACAAAAGCCGAAGCTTTTCGATGCTACAATACAACACGTTAAGCTCCCTTGAAAATTCAGGATAGTTCTGAGTGTATTCTTGTNTAATGAGGTCTGTAGCACATGTCACGCAACACAAAACAAAAGACAAAACAATCGTTGCGCGGTTGTTGGCCGAATACGCACGCAATGGCCTCATGCAGTGTATCCTGCCGTAAAAAAAACATTTCCACCAACGTTATTCTTTAGCCTCCTCCGCAGGCGGTTGGGCTTCCTTTGGTGAGACGCGGGGAGACTGAGATATGTGTTTATCATATAATTATCTATGAAATACCTATATTTCTCCATTACGTAAAATTGATATTTTCACTAGCGAAAATAACATGCTACGCTCGCTCGTGAGAGATCTTTTCAACACTCGAAGATAAAATCCGTATCTCCGCGCGCCCATGTAATATCCTCTATATCTATATGCAGATGATAAGAAAATGAAAAACACCCAAAGATTAGTAGAGTTTTTTCATAAGAATCTTTGGATTTTTCAGGTTAATTTCAAGAGGTTTTTATGGAACGAGTAGTTACATTAGGCTGCATAGTTTTTTTTTAAAGAATAAGCCACAACACTAGCTTGCATTGTGTGTTTGTTTTGACAGTTTATATACAATACTTTGAAACCTGCATTTTGATTGCTGTCTTAGTACGTCATTTCTGTTGTAAGGTTAGACTTTCTTTTATTAGTCCGACTAGCCGACTTCAGTTTTACCTTTTAGCCAATCTATCTATCTATGTATCATGTCGCGTTTGGACCACCGGAAGTTAAGAAATTTAAAATAATTAACTATTGGGTTGGCTGTGTTATTACATACCGGAAGCTCAAACGTATTATAGATGTACGAATATATCTTTAGTAAATGTCAGATTCTACTTGCGCTTTTATGTGATAAAAAAAAACTGTTCGTTTACAAATAAAAATGTGGTATCTGTGATCTCATCGGAATGCATCAGTCTAGCCATCAGAAGTACGCGCATGTGCTGATCGCATGGAGCTTCGAGTAGTATGCTTACAGAACTGAATTCTAGCGCTAGACAGTCTT